CACTCAAGAAATCCGGGGATTGGGTTGCAGCCATGCTGAAAGGGCACAGCTGGCAGCCTGGCTGACGCCTCTAAATGAGCGCAAAGCCAAGGTGCTGCACGCATACCGCCTCATCGAGGGCGCGTATGTGTGCTATGACACCCCGAAGAAATTCCCCATGATCGTTGTTCGGCGGGTGCTTTCGAGACTTCTTTCCGAGGCAGGGCTGAAGAGTAGCTCCGGCAAGATGTCGGACTACATTAAAGCCAATTACTTTTGCATCCAAGCTCGCGTCAACAACAAGCGCCCTTGGGAGTGCTTGAGCAACTACCCCGTCCCACAACTTGGGGGCATTTGGTTCCCGACGCCTCGCATTCAGCTGAGTGCAGATGCTGGCCCTCTGCTACGCAAACTGATGCTGAAAAGGCGCGGAGCGGATTTCCAAGTGCCACCAATGCGCCGTGCTTGTGACGAGTTGGCGCGATTGGTGGCCTACAAGCTCAATCTCAAATTGGACCTCCCTCTGAAGCAATGGCTCAGGGAAGGCCGGTCGGGGGACGAGCTCGTGCAAGCGATCGAGGAGGCTCCCATTTTTCGCAGGCGCGGCGTTGGTAGCTTAAGTTACCTCGCCGGCTTGGCCTTGTGACGCGCAGCGCCAAAGCATGCCCTCAAGTCCTTCGCCGCTACTAATGGTTGTTGCGCGTAGCTGCCTGCCGACGTTTGCAGTTTTCCGACTCACATGAACACACAGCATAAACACTCACCTGACACTTGTGGCTCGAAAAACATGTGCCCAAAAAGCTGCGCATGCCTATGCTTGTTGTGTGCATGCTTGCAGCATCCTGCACGCGCTGTTTGCCCAAACTCAAGCTTGCGCTGAGGCCACTGGTGCTGGAGCAGGAGGGGCTGCCGTGTGTCGTGGTGAGTTCCTGTCGCAGCCAGCTTCTCTAACTTCTCTAACGATAAGCTCTTATTGCAAAGATTCCTTACTCGTAAATGGATTCACTTGAATTTGAAATCGAACTGTTCTACAGTACTTTAGACCAACTAAATCAACGGGGCAAGCGGCAACGAGCTTCCAGCTGGCGCCTGTCAGGCAGACCGACAATGTATTTCGTGAAGTGGCCTTCGAAGTCATGCACCCAGAGTTGCGAAGGACAGGCTCTTAAGTACTATCGCTCTCTAGCTGTGATTCTGCAACCTGTTGGCACGGTGTATGGCTGAAGTGTGCCCGGCCCACACATCCGCCAGCGCAGCGTCAGCGCCGAAGATAGGATATACTCTCCGGCTCAATGGCTCTGTTGAAGTGCATCGTATAAAGGCAACTGCCAGGTGGGGCTGTTGGTGCTGCCTCAACTGCGAAAGGGTTTGCCTTATCATCCAATCTTTTGGGCCCGAACAGATTTGGCCATTGTGTTTTCGCGCAGCGAGTGTTCCGAGGTTGTCGCCTGAACAACCGCCAATTGTTCAAAGGAGTGGCAATGTCGCGGGGTGGGATTAACAAGAAAAAGCGGCAATAAACGTACGTCTTTGTCCGCAGCACAACACCACAAGCGCATTGGGTCTCCAGGAAGTCCTTCTTCTTTGCCTCCGGAATGAGCAACTTGGCCCTCCAGGAAGTCCTCCCTCTTTGTCCCCGGCACAAGCGAATTGTGTCTCCAGCAAATCTCCAGGAAGTCCTTTTCTTTTGTGGCGGGATAAGCAAATTTCTTTGTCCCCTGCACAAGCCAATTGCGTCTCCGGGGTGTCCTCCTTCTTTGTCTCCTTCTTTGTCCCCGGCACAAGCGAAGTGGGTCTCCAGGCAGTCTTCCTTTTTTGTCCCCGGCACAAGTTTCCAGCAATTCCTCCTACTTTGTCCCCGGAAAAGCAAATTGGCCTTGCAGGAAGTCCTTCTTCTTTGTGCGAATTGAGTCTCAGGAAGTCATCCTTCTTTGCACCCAGGATAAGCAAACGCAAACTGGCCTACAGGAGTCCTCCTTCTTGGTCCCCGGCGCAAACGAGTTGGCAGGATTTCCTCCATCTTTGTCGCCGGGATAAGCAAATTGGCCCTGCAGGAAATCCTCCTTCTTTGTTGCCGACACAAGCGAATGGTGTGTTTCCAGGAAATCCTCCTTTGTCCTGGGGATGAACAAAATTCTTTGTCCCCGGCACAAGCGAATTGGGTTTGCAGGAAGTCCTCCTTCGTCCCCAGATAACAAAGGCCTTCCAGGAAGTCCTCTCCAGGAAGTCCTCCTTCT